ACGAACGCAACAATACGGTCAAGGAAACTAATCCCAATCACAAATTCAAAGTCATCGAGTGGGATTACCTTGATACTTTCTTTACCGGTACAACCTCCAATGTCAAGCTCTACTACTTTTTCTACCCTAGCAATTGAAACTTCTTTGGAATTGACGACCTTGATAAACCCACTTGCCTTCTCTTCCGAAAGGTCAATTCTTTGGTAGCATGTTTGGACATGAACAACTCTGAGGCACTCGTATCAACAAATGCACTCATCTTATGGCCAGCCACAGTAATGTCCATGAACATCATCCCCTTCTTGACTTCTATGGAACTCAAATTGAAGCTTCAAGGTCTTCTTATCTTCCGCATCATCATCCTTGATGGAAGCAGTCTTCACACGTTGAGGACAATTCTTCTTTATTTGATTTCCTCCACAATAGAAGCATGCTTAGTCACCCGACTTGTTACCCTTCTTGGCTTGGTCATTTGGTCTCTTATTACTTCCTGATGGCTTGTTGGATCTTCCCTTGGCCTTCTCTCTCCCATATTGCCCTTGGGTCTTAGCTTTGGTTTAGAAGAGTCGGTCTTCTTGACTTCAAACGAGGACAAATACTTGACCACGTCCATAGCCTCGGACAGTTCCTTCACTCCCCTTCACTGGATCTCAAACTTTACCCATCGTTGTAACCCATCGATAAAGGCAAAATATCCATCTGAATTGCCCAAGTCCAGAATATACAACTGGATCTCAGTGAAGTTCTTGATGTACTCCAAGAGAGAACGGTCATGCTTCAACTGCTTTATTTGAGCTGAGCATTCCTTGGGTAGAAATACTCCTTGAGTTCTCCCACGAACCCCTCCCATGTCCAAATTAGAAGTGACTTATCTTTCACCTCGGAACACTTACTTTGCCACCATAAATTAGCAATATCATTCAGATAATTTGAAGTAGTATTTACCTTGGTGGACACATCCTCGATGCCACTACCTCGAAAGAACTACTCCATGCTCTAGAATTTTTTTCAAAATCCTAGTCAACTCGATTCCCATTGAAAACCTTCGTCTTAGGGACGTTGATCTTGGGCCTAGATGATTCCCCTAGTGCCCTATTGTGCACGACAGTCTTGTAGACCAACAACTTATTTTTGACCTCCATCAACTCCTTCATCAGCTTTGTCCTCATCATACGATAGCTTTCCAGTCCACTGGTATGCTCGTCCAACTCATTGGACATATCAATGATTTATTCATAGAAACCCTCGACTCCCTCTTCGGGTTCCAGCACAACTAGGCGAGATTCGATTGAATCATAGGTTCCTTTGATATTGTTGTAAAGATCTTCAAGCCTACCAGCCCTTACTCAAAGAAAGCCTCTATATCCTTTGAAATCCCTCACTTATTTTCACCCACAACCTGAGTTTCAACTCATTCGGCAACAATATAAACCTTGCCTTGGTTTTGTGGTATCATCTTGTCGAAAAACCTTGGCTCTGATACCACTTTTCGTGCCCTTGGAACTTCAAATGCCTCAAACGCACAACCTTATTTGTTTCTTCAAAGAATACAGTTAAGTCAGCCTGAAAACAATCCAAGGAAAGATGTTTAGATTAGCAACGGAAGCAAAAGAACTTTGAAAGAGAAAGCAAGCACAAGAACAAGACAAGAGAAATTGAGAGAATGTTATGTGATTTCTCAAAATGAAGAAGTGGATACAAATGAGGAGGAGAGGCATAAATTTATAATGAAGGCTCCCCTCAATGAACAACTAAGATCTAAGTACATCGACGAACCAGATCAAATACAATCCCCTAATCAAAATAATCATAATTACAAGATCTCTCTATCTAAGGAAACTATACAATACTCTTGATAACTTGCCTTAGAAAGAAGATTACAAAGATTATGAAAAGAATCAAGATTATCATGCATTAACCAAGTGATTCTTCTTCCATACTTGTGTAAGGCTCTTTATCTCCATGAAATGGGCCAGTATGGAAGGGTCTGGCAAGGCCCAAAATGCCACTTAGGTTGTCATTGGCTCCTTCTTGCGTTGTGATCTCGGTCATGGGCTAGCGGTCAGTGACAATAAGTTTAATTCAAATCAGGGTAAATTATCATGTTGGTCACTTTTTTTTAGTTTTATTCAATTTTGATCATCAAATTTTAAAAGTTAAGTCATTTGTTTTCAATTCACTTGATACCAGAACGATCAACTCTAGATCATGGGTGATATAATTACACTCATATGGTTTCAAAGGTCTTGATTCATAAGCCACCACTTTTCTATCTTGCGTCAACACATAATTTCAGGAAAATTCTCTTCTTTAAGGATGAAGCGGTTGTTGTCTTTAAAGTGTTGGGAAACACTTATGATTTTCATGCGCGAAGGATTTAGGTAGAAATTAGGATCAAAAGAGAGAAAGTCTAATGGCAGAGCCTGATTGGAATACCTTATTCATCAAATCCATGGTTATAGTAAAGAAATTGGTCAATCCAATTGGTCAATCCAACTCTTTTACCTTTAACTGATGATAATTCGACCTCATATCATTCTTCAAAAACACTTTGTAATCCTAAATTGATAAAACAAGTTTTGATCCTAGGCAATTGATATTTGTTCTTCATACTCTATTTTTTTAGTTGTTAGTAGTCAATATACAATCTCAATGTCAAATCTTAGTTCTTTACAATTAATATTAGAGCTCTCTCGGGAAATATATAGGCTTGTATAAAACCTCGGTCTAATAACTCTTGAAGTTGAACCGTAAGTTCCTTGAGTTTTTAGGGTATCGGGTAATAAGAAACATATAAGTGATTAGAGCCACTGTCAATTAATACAAAATGCGATAAGCATCGATCATAAAGGTATTTACAATAACATCAGATGTATTATATTGCCTCCCATAGAGAAAACTAATCAGAAACTTCAAAGAGCTAAATGAACCTTCAGTACTAGTTATGAATGCGTAGGATAGGGTACACTAGTTCCATGACTCATAACGCTCTATTTAGTCTGCCATTCGTGGCTTATTTTGAGGTTCATTAAAATGAGCCAGTAGGACGTGAATACCTCTTATTTTGATCCTCTTTTTCACATTTATCATCTTCCCAAACATTACCTTCAATACCCTTTCTTAATGTTATGCAACTAGGGCTGTAAACAGGTTGAACCAAACTCAAATATTACTGAAATCGACTCTAAAAATATAAAATTGAGTTCGACTCAAATCATTTGAAGCCCCAGTATAGTATGCACCTCAGTTTCTATTTCGATATGCATTTCATATCCTCAAGTATTCTTTTAATTGCCTTTATCCAACACCCGACTAGTGTGAGCTATCGTAGTAACACCTTCAAATAACTCAGTACTATTCACCTAAAGCCTTTCTGTCAGTGCTCTGCAACTAGCCAGTTTAGTCTAAGCTCTAAAAACTCTTTGAAATACTATCAAAATGGCATGAGATAGTGTCATCGTCATTTTGTGAATATACCTAGTCAATAGAAATCGTCGAACATTAGTTAACTAACTGTTTTCATCCAACCAAGAGTTTTACTCTCAGAATGAATTATTGAAGGGCTAAAGTGCTTTAAAAAAAGGATAAGAGTCAAAAATGTTCACGTCAGCATTCTAATCCTTATGGATATGCTTAGTTAGCAAAAAAATATTGACCATTAGTCAACTATTTTCATCAACTAAGGGTTTTTTTTTATCCAAAATAAAACATTGGGGCCAAAGTGCTTCAAAGAAAAAATAGATCAAAATGATCATGTTATCATTCCATTTCATGTGGATATGCCTAGTAGTAGAAAACATTAATCATTAGTTAATTGACAATTTTTATTCAATTAGGAAGTTTTTACTCCTAAAATGAAATTTTGGGATTAAAATGTTTCATAAAAATATTTATATAAATCAAAATAATTATTTTATCGAGTGTGAGAAGTTAAATTTATTTTTTAAATCATAAAAAAGAACTCAAATATTTATGCATACATATTGTGGAGAGCTCGGATGAAGTGGGGGCTCGGATGAAGTGGGGGCTGTTAGGGTAGGAAGTAGGACATAGGCCCCCAAACTCTAATGTTTTGTAGTTGAAGGCGAGTGAGCGAGACAGGAGTGAAAGACACCTATTGTCAATAAAGCAAACCAAAGGCTAAACTCTCGAGATAACGTTCTCAAACAAATTATTTCACGAGATAATGCTCTCCCAGGATTAATTGTTTAAATAGGGTGAAATCTACAGTGTTGGTTGTAGGTCGCCATGCCTTCCGGGCGACCTACTACGTGGTCAGCCATGCACGTCCCCAAGCATAGGTCGTCATGCCCTCCGGGGGACCTTGTAGGTCGCCATGCACTCCTGGCGACCTTGTACGTCCCCAAGCATAGCTCGCTCAGATAGCCTCGGTCGGACGGATGGCCAACGTGTTGGAACGTGCATGGCACATGCAATCTCTCTCATAGCTCGCCGGGAAGACATGACGACCTATTAGGTCGCCCGGATGGCATGGCGACCTACGGCCAATACTGTAGATTTCATCTTATTTGAGCAATTAATCTTGGGAGAGCATTATCTCGTGAAATAATTTGTTTGAGAACGTTATTCGAGAGTTTAGCCGCAAACCAAAGCTATTACCCAGCATTTCATGGAAGAAGGTATTGTGAAGTAAGTTTTTTTTTGAAAAAAAAGGGCATAAAATCTCAAAAATTAAACAACAAAATTCTTTATACGTCTCTTCTTTAGCTAGTGTGCGATTATTGGAGAGAGACAGAGAAAGCAAAGCAAAAGAGAGGAACCCACCTCAGTTTTGCTTTCTTGTAAAGCAAATAGAAAACAAAATAAAATTTCAACATAGTATATTGCAGATATCAAAATAATGATCGAAAGATTTTAAACATATATTATATGTATTCCCTTGAACTTATCAAAATATATTCATCTTCTTTTGCTACAATTTCAGAGATTTTGACCCTTCTTAATTCATATAACAACCACATAGATATATTTTCCTTTGATTGCACTTGTCTCCATCTTTTTCTTTTGTGTTCTTCCCTTCGTTTTCCTTTGATTATATGTATGTTTTATGATTGTGAAGATTGAGCTTTTAACAATTGAAGGAGACGTCTTTATCTGCATAATTTTGTTATTCATTGTGGCTACCACAAGAAGGCCGCTACTGTCAGACTCAGGAGCCTTTGTAGATTGGGCGATATCATCGTCCACGGCAATCCGAGCTGGCCCCGATGACCTGTCCCTTGGCTTTAATGCAAACGCCTCCGCCGCCGCGGCGGTGGTGGCTGCTGCTCCTGAATCCGCCACCACTCAATGGCCACCCTCAGCTGGTCAGATCAACTACGGCCTTCCCTCAGAAACGGGGATGGTTGGTCGTCGCGATTTCGTTTTTGTCGCTCCTGCGTCTTATAACCATCATCATCATTACCATCACCATCTCCACTATGCTCAAGATCCCATCATCGGAAATGATCAAATCAATGGTCACAATGTTGCCACGGCACTTGGTGTAGGCGTCGGTACTGTTTTCCCACTTCTTACAGCATCTCCATGTGTAGCACCACAAAATATGGAAGATTCCGATTTGCTGAATAACAATGGTCGTAACAAACTCACTGATTTGATACAAAGCAGTGGCGGCGGCGGTGCCGGTTCAAGCTCAGGCACGACGTGTCTAGATTGTGGGAACCACGCCAAGAAAGATTGTACACACAGGAGATGTAGAACATGCTGTAAAAGTCGAGGCTTTGATTGCCTTACGCACGTTAAGAGCACGTGGGTACCTGCTGCTAGGAGAAGAGAGCGTCAGCTCATGGCAGCCGCCGCCGCTACTGGCGGTGGTGGCTCATCGGCATCAACATCTGGGGGTAAAAAACCGAGACTTGTCATTTCACAGACGACGAACACTCATACTTCAACTTCAAACACTACATCAAGAAGCTTTGACACTAACTCAAGTCACAAAGGTTTGCTTCTTTGTTTCTCTTTTATTAGGGTTGTTCCCAAATAACCGTAAACGGAGTCATCTGAAATTCTTATTATACAAATGTGATACTTTCATAATGACCTTAATAACATCCTTAATAACATCCGTTATTAATTTAATCATGATAAACACAACGCAATCGAAAATACGATTGTAATTATAATTTAGATCTTGATTATTTGTAGAGAGTGAAATTTTGTAGGATTTTTGCTGAAAAATGTTTTGTTTGTATGCAGATGCATGGTCACTGCCGGGGCAAGTACGGGCGCCGGCGGTGTTCAAGTGTGTAAGAGTGACGGCAGTGGAGGATGGTGAAGATGAGTATGCATATCAAGCGGTGGCTAGGATTGGTAGACGTGTGTTCAAAGGGTTTCTTTATGATCAAGGAATTGAAGGAAGAGATGGGTTTCCCAATAAATCTGAATTGCAACTGGGCGGTGGTGGCGGCAGCAGTGGCGGCTGAAATGGGGTTTCATCATCATCACCTGTTCTTGATAGACTTGGGGGATTCATTATAGTCTAAATTGGATCTTTCTTTTTCTAATGCATACTAATTTTTCATATGGTTTTGGTAAATCCTTCTTTTGTATACTCCATATCCTATTGTTAACATGTGTTTTTTCTTTTGGGTTCAACTGTTTTATTGTTTTTCCTGTTTATTTGTGTTTAAAACGTGTGTAGTGACAGATCTAGAAATATTTTTTTAAGATGAAACACGTACATTAATTAAATAAATTTTTTCTGTGAAATAAAAAAAATAAAATTTTAAAGTAAACACAATTAATAAAATAAATAAATAAATAACCAAATAAAAATTGAATTTTAATGTGTTATTGTGAACTTAATTAGAATCCACCACTGTCTGTGGGTTATTCTCATCTAGAGATGGGCATGAGATCCGAACACAATGAGTTCATTGGGTTTGGGTCAGGTCGGTTTTTTTTAATGTGATGGTCGAGTCGGGTCGTGTTCGGGTTTAGGTGAAAAATACCTGACCCGACCCGAAAAAATATATAATTTTACTTTATATATTTAGGAATAATTACAATAATATCCCTCTATATGTTATTTTTTTCAATTAAGTCACTATTTTTATTAAATAAAAATATTTTTTTTATTGAATAAAAATATTTTTTTTATTTCGAATCGAATCAAATCAGGTTTTTAAGTTATATATGAGGTCGGATGAAAATTTGTGGTCGGATCGGGTCGAGTCTCGGGTGGAAGACTCATTGTTTTCGAGTTGAGTTGGATAGACCAAAAACCCGATCCAATCTAACCCGACCCGACCCATGTCCATCCCTATTCTCATCATGTTGTCTACGAGTTCACATTTTCTTACACTGTAGTCCTTCAAAATTTTGTTCTGATAAGACATTTTTGCTTTCTTTAACCTGTTGTACCCTCTCTTTTTTTCTTATTATTTTTGTTTTCGATAAATGTTGTATTCTTTTTGTACTGTAGAATTTTCGAAAAACATGTACTATATTCGTAGTATACGGTTTTCCAACATGAACTCTAACAAATTTATTTGATCTATTAGAATTAAATCTATTATCAATTAGTTATATTTACGTAATCTGCTAACATATAAGTAATCATAATGATTTTATATTAGACACCAACATTAAAAGTCTGATATAAAATCTCTGGATCGAGATTAAAAGAAAGATCAAGATTCTCCCCCTTTCATTCACCCCTCTTCTTGTACCTCCTCATAATGACAAAAAACCTTGATACTAGCCAATATCATTTTTTTACTATGACTCTTCGTATAGAGAAGTAAACTGTCTTGATTGCTAGTTCACACCCTAAACGAATCTAACCTTTCTCGAGGTTTTTTTTTTCCCTATGGTTTAATATGCGGAATGGTGCATGCATTGCTTTGGTTGCTAATCAGGAACATGCAATGTACTGAACGTGAACTCAATATTATATCCCCACATGTCGGCTTTGTTGTTTCACTTATGTGTGGAAAACCAGGACAATTGGTGTTGGATATATCTGTTCTTGGTTTCTAGTGGTACCTTTTTGCCTAGGGTTCTGCAAGATTATGCAAACTAGTGCTTTGGCTTGTGCTTACTTGTTGACTAATGTGGGATTAAAATAAGATATGAGCTCCTGTGTTTAATTGTGGTTAGGGTCTTACTTTCGGCACTTTTGGGCATGCTGTCCCCCATTACTTGGTTCTTATTTGATGCTAATCTTGAATGCTGTGTGCCGTGTCCAAAGCCACGTGTGTTCCAAAATAGACAGTCTCCTTATCAGACAACCAAACATGACAGTATTCCTCTGCCATTCCTCTTATATGTGTGTCCAGTGTCTGATCCACCTTCAACTAAGGGCAAAACTTTCGAGATAATGTTATCGAATAAATTATTTCACGAAATAATGCACTCCCCAGATTAATTGCTCAAATAGGGTGAAATCTACAGTGTTGGTCGTAGGTCGCCATGCCATCCGGGCGACCTACTAGGTCGCCATGTCTTCCCTGCGAGCTATGAGAGAGATTGCATGTGCCATGCACGTCCCAACAGTTGGGCATCCGAGGCTATCCGAGCGAGCTATGCGAGAGCATCCGAAGCCATCCGACCGAGGGCATCCGACCGAGGCCATCCGAGCGAGCTATACGAGGGCATCCGAGGACAAGAGGAATCACGCAAGGAACAGGAGGGAGTGCATGGCGACCTACAAGGTCGCCCGGAGGGCATGGCGACCTATGTTTGGGGACATGCATGACTGGCCACGTAGTAGGTCACCCAAAAGGCATGGTGACCTACGGCCAACACTGTAGATTTCACCCTACTTGAGCAATTACTCTTGGGAGAGCATTATCTCTTGAAATAATTTGTTCGATAACATTATCTTGAAAGTTTTGCCTTCAACTCAGGGTGAACACGTGGATATTCTAAAGTTTAATTTTTTTTAATTAATTATATATTTTATTGATTGTATTCACTATAAAATTTTATTCGTGTTTATCTCATATAAAAATTCTATGTTATTAATGTATGTCAACGCTAAAAAAATTTCTAGATTTATTACTGTGTACATCGAGATTGATAGCAACGTTATTTATCATGTTACCTTGTCTTTACATAAGACTCCCATAGATATATTTGACTTAAGTTCGACTTGACTAAAAATGAGCAGATAAAGTATTAATTTGATTAAAAGTAACATATTAATTCTATTTTATGTTCAAGGATGGACAGAGAGGAGGACGGGATCTAATAATTAAAATTATCATATATTTTAATTTTTTTAATATTTTTTTTATTAAAAATCTATTTTTATTCCTCTAAAATTTAAAAGTTCGCCCCTTAACAAAAAATCTTGTGTCTGTCCATATTTATGTTGATTGAATAGATCTCTTACTATGTAAATTTCATTTCCAAACAAATAACTATCTTTATAAATAGATACTACAGATTTACATATTAATTTCTTTACAATAAATTTAAATATTAATTTCTTTTCTAGAAATACTTTAGTATTATTCATTTTCAACATTAGTGAATTCTCTTCTTCTGTACATAGGTACGTATTTTAATATTAATATCATTCTGGAAAACGTAACTGAATAACTAACATGACATTCCCTCACCACTGCAACATGGAAGGTAGATGCCACCAAAAACAAAACAAAAACTCAAATGCATGCTTTTGCTGGTCATGATTGAGAATGGAGAAGATTTTAGAAGTTCCTTTGTCAACTTTGTTAGACATCCAAGACAAGAATGGTTGCTTGAGGGTATGCTTAATTTGATGTTATTTCGACTTCTCATCTTTCTTAAATATATTAGTGCAACATATTCATATTTAACACTTATATATCCGGATTCAAGTACAACATCCTATGACCGAGAGATCATTTGTATAATCTACTCTTTTTTCTAAATATTTATGTTGGATGAAGTTGGATATGGATTTTGATCCCAAAACTCTAATTGGAAATATGCTTCTCAAGTCAAATCCAGTTTTGGTGGAGGGTGATACTTCTAGGGTCGGGTGAAGACCAAGTGAAGGATATGGGTCGGGTCAGGATAACCCTAAACCCAACCCAACCTATTGTCATCCCTAGTTGGGTATGCAAATACAGTCATGACATGAGTACTTTCCACAACTTAAAGGGAGCAATTCAAGAGCAAATCTAGGTCGCTCAACCCCACTACAATTATTCCCTATTCTTTCCAAGAAATTGACAACCAAATGTTGCTCATTGGCAAATATGTTTTAAAAAATAAAAGTTCAACATAGGACAAATGTTTAGGTTAAAGGAATGAAAGCGGCTTTATTTGCTCTACATGCAGAAAACAATTCTTTCAGGCATAAACTTCAGCCCTACTTTCATCATTTCTATAGATACTAAGCAACGACTTACACGACTCAACAAAGGGTGTATATAATAGAGAAAAAGTCTGATGCAGCATAATTCTGTATTGCTATCACTAAACAAGAGAACGATCCCACCATAAAGTGAGAACAGAGGGGAAGAATCTTAATTCTTAGTTAATTAATCAGGGAAGAGGGAGAAATGAGAATCTTTTGTATCCTTTATTCCTCCACCAACATCACTCGCTTTAGGCGAGCATAAATTGGATGCTTCTGTCGCAAAGTGCGAGATGAAAGTTCTTGTTAAAACATACATCAAATCACTGCTAGAGAATCAAGTATTTTGGCACAGGTCAAAAGACACCCACAAAGGGCCATTATTACAATCAACAAAATTTTCTAGTAACAGGAACATAAGAGGAAAACAATTATATTTATAACCTTACTCATTAGTTTGTGTAAGAAAAGAAGCATACTTTTCGGAATATAGATAGATGCTTCTCTTAGGAGGCTTGATATCAGGAAACATTGACACCAGTAAGCTCCAATTCTACTATTGTGGCATTAATTGCATCTATAACATCCATCTTTCCCATGCTTAGAGCCTCGTCGATTGGAGTTCGTTCATGGCTGTTCATATCCAATTCCATAAATAATTGGTTGAAAAAGAAGGGCTAACAAGGAATAAGTAAACTCGATATTGACATAACAAACAACTCACCTGTTTAGAAGGCTTACATTTGCACCTGATAGAACTAATTTCTTAACTACCTGTCACCGGCATTTATATAAGTACCCTAAACTTGTGTAAGATCGTCTAAAGTGAAAGACTAGTATAAGTTACCTCAACATGACCATTGAGACAAGCCCAATGAAGAGGGGTATTGTTCTCCACATTAGAAGCATTAACATCCTGCTCATGTAAAATCTTCAAAATGGTAAACAAGATGTTCTGGGAAAAGGTAATAATAAATGCCAAATATATCCTAAAGGAAGATTTTTAATGTATGATAATCCTCTGTGACCATTATCGAGAAATTTAGATGCAAAAATACTCAATAACCTAAGCTCAAATGAATACAGAGAGAGAACCTTACTCCATCCAAGCCAACAAGAAATTCTAGTAGAGAATGACCTTCCAGATCCTCTTCTACAGAAAGGTAGTCCGTTATTGCCACCCAAAAATAAAAGGCAAGACACAGACTACAACCTACACTTACGTTTCCCATTGGAGGAGAAAAAATCTACTGTACATGACCATTGACCATCTATATAGAGAGTTCCATCTTGTATCCACATGGTACCAAAATCATGGATGGATAATAACTGAACCACTGGCAGAATTCTACCAGCAGCAAATATGATTCTACCAACATGAGTTCAGGCATATTCAAACCACCTTCATCAGATAACAATCTTCAATCCAGTTAACCAAATGGTTTTTCTCTTTGATCTCTTTCCATACTGAATTTAAAGAGACAAATGTTATTGGTTCGACAGCTACTTAGCTACAATAATCTTAGCAAGAACAATCCTTCTTTGGATAAATGCTATCGACCTCTCAACATTAGCTAGAAAAGTCCCTGTTTCTTAAATTATCCATAACACCTTGCTCCAAACACCAGTCTCAAATAAAGTGCAGAATTATTATTATATGTATGTGGAAAATCCATACATTTCAAAATTTGAGGGTTAATTACCATCTATTCCCAACCCCCAAGAACCCATTTTCTATCTATGACTCTATTCATTTTATCCTACAACTTTTATTAGTGGTTCAAAGCTCCTTATGTTTCTCATGCCATCTATTCTTTCCCATTTTACAAGCATATCCTAGCAGAATTTTGTTCTCTTATCACTAGACTTGTGAAATACACGCACAAATCTCTTGAGCAAGGAATACCTATTTGAAGAGCTTAACACAAAATTTGATACGATCCGTGAAAGCTGGTGAAAATGAAAACAAAATAAAACCTCTAGATCAACAAGATATTTCAAATTTTGTGCTAAGCTCTTCAATTCCCTGCCTGCTTCATATTTGGACCCTCAACCCAAAAAGGAAAAGTAATATCCAGTTGTTATAGTGCAAGTGTAGGCCCAGAGTTTAAAAAGCGATCAAAGCTGATAACTTTTTTTTCATTTACACTATGCACCAAAACCAACCACATGCGGTGGAAGTTAAATGACTTATTTATTCCAAGTTTATGTACATCGTGGATGTTGCCTCTGTTACAAACATCAAGATAGTTTATTATATTTCTAAATTAATCGAATAATATATGCCCTCTGTTTTCCCCTTTCTTTAAATTAAAATTAAACCACAAAAACATGGTACAATCCTCTTTTTTCAAGTATTCAGTCATAATTCCAGTCATTCAGAAAACTTGGTAAACAGAGTAGTATTGGTACATATTAGAACAACCAGATATAAATATTCATAAGACAGTTTTCTCACCACTCCTCTACTGATGAGATACCCGACGATATCAAGATGTCCATTAGCCGCAGCCATGTGAAGTGCTGCAATAGAAAATCACAATAGTTTTTAAGGAAATACAAACAAATAAATTTTCTTTCCAAAAGATAGTAAACAGAAGACAACTAACAAGCACAAATGAAGACCAAAATGCCAAAAGAAAGTCCTATAAATTAGCATAATTGTTGACCCCTAGAGGGAGAAAAACAGAATTCCAATAACATCACTTCCCTAAATATTGACAAAATGGATGGGAATTAAAAGTCCAACTGAAATCTAACAAAACATGAATTATTGACTTTAGCTTTCTTGAGTGGGGTTATAAAAAATAGTGTCCCCTCATAAAAACATCATAGCAACCCAAAAAGTAATGTTAATGTCATCTTAATCTGGTACCGATGTTATGATTGGAATCTTGAGCTGGCTATATAGGGATGATATAATTATGCAATATATGCATGTATGTTTGTGTAGAGACAGTCGGACAGTTTCTCAAAAGGTATTCAGAAATTTTTAATCCAAAAATAGGGTGTTCTTTTTCCATGTAAGCACTCAATCACATCAACTTTTTTCATTCTTTTCTCGATCTGTTCATTGCCCAACCAAAATTAATCTCTAAAGAAACCATTAAAGGAGCAGGATATTCAATTGATCTTTAAAAAAAATCCACGACTCCTTTTGCTCTCCTTTTTTTTTATATACAAAATGGAGGGCAGAACCCCTTAAAGCTAGACAAACAATTTAACAATTCATCTGCATGAAATAATAAAGACCATTCTTCAAGCTCATAAGAAACTATCTTCAGTCCTAGTGACTGTTCAAGACTTTTTCCAGCTAGCGAATCAGTCACATATTCTTGTCTGAATGGATGCAACAATTACCAGGTCTAACGGTTATCAAGAACTTATGGCTCTCATCTCTGGGGCTAAAGGATGATGATGTGTGATCCTTTGCTTTATCATTGTGATGCAGCTTTTAGAGCCAAATTCAATTTCAAGTTGGTTGGTCAATGGAACAGTTGCCAAGAGAAAAAAGAAGCCCTGCCATTTGGTTTCATTTTTCTACTTTGGTGACTCCAGCAGCTTTAGCCTGATTTTTCCTTTAAACCTATTTAGTTGTGTTTCAACATTAACATCTAGAAATCATAGTTCAAGCAATAGGTTACAGTTCAGTAAGGCCCTTACACCACTACCGAGAATCAAAAGACTGCACGATAAAGGCCATTCAAGATCTCAAATACATGCTACAACATCCTTTTCACCTCGTATGAAGCAGTTCCTAGCTAAATTGTTCTGATATCCTCAACAAGACCCAACATGCAAATATTTCAAACAAATAAAAAAATGTAATGGGATGAGACAACATGACACAATAAAACTACCAAATAGACCTCTTTTTACCTATCATGATAAACATAGAAAGCTGCATTCAGCACAATTAATTCTAACATGCAACTAATACGATGTGAGCAAGAGATTTTCCAAAAATAAATTTAAGAAAGCTTCAAAGCCATCAAATTAATAGGAAACCTGTTCGGCCTTGTGAATCATTAGAATCAAGAGATACACCAGTAGATTCTAAACTTATAAGATCATCATTTTCACCATAGCGGGCAGCCTGTCAATCATAGAATATATAAGAAGTTAAATTGAATTTGAATTGAATTGCTAAGTGAATTTAAATACTGAAGAGTTATAATTTGGAGCATAAAACTAGTAATAAGTAGCATCAACATGATTTTCATTTTCATTTTCTTTCCGATCCTACCAGACAGTAAACAGAAAATATATATAAACATAATCAGTGGTGGACCAAGGAAGCAATCAAGCGCCCTTGAAAATTTCAAATTCACGGATATTTTAAATATATTCTTTGTATTTTGTATTGATAATATGTTTTCGCCACTAAAATTTTAACAATTTCGATCACTTAAAATATTTTAAGTTCGACCCATAACTTAAAATCCTGCATCCTTCCATGAATATAATTCCTACGATTATGCTAGTAAAGGAAAACCTAGTTTTCATTCCTTTCAACATCATATATATCCTAACATTCAATTTTTGCGACCAAGAAAACCCTAAAAATTCAAAAGAAAATAACCCAAAAACTGAATGACAAAAACAATAAGAAAAGATTGACGAGTGTTAAAACCTCAAGCAGTTCCTCAACGGACTCTGTTGCTGCAGGGATCTGCTCTGCTCCGTTTATAGCGATAACCATTTGTTCTGGCCCAAATATACTGAAAGGAGATGATGAACTTGATTCTTTCAGTTCAAATTCAGTGACAAATTACGCTATGAAGCACAAAAAAGAAAAAAGAAATTAAGTGTTTAACGAAAATGAACAGTTATACGAGTAAAAGTAACAGAACAAGAATTGAGGGAGAAGAAGAAAAAGATGGAACCTTGATCGATTGCTGTGCGGTGTGTGAGGCGGCGTGGAGATAGACCTGACGATTTCTGTTTGAAAATATTTGTTTCAAAGTGTAATGTATGGTAGGGTTGTATAACAAAATTGAAAAATTTTAAAATTGATTCATATGTTGTTTAATTTGGTTTAAAGTTTTGGGTAAATTACAAATATAATGCCTAAACTATCAATTTTAATCTGTTTTAATACATAAACTTTCAATTTTTTTAAAACCATATCTAATTCTTAATTTTTGTTTCAATTTAGTACACCAACCGTTAAAACTTAACGGATAGGCTCGCTAATCGCCACGTCTATAGTTGATGGTTGTTACATTTGTCGGTTAATGAAGCACAAACTTTCTAATTTGCACCTTTTCGACCCCCTGAATGTGATTTCAGCCTTTGTTTCACCAAAAAATACCTCAATATCCCTAAATCGACGATAGACTCTTTGACTTCTTCATCCACCGATCCCCATCATCAACCGTCCAATGGGCCTGAAACTGGACTATGTTGGTTAACTCATTATTCTCTCGTGGTCTACTGTTCGGATTGGTCATCCATCCATCGGAGCTATGTCTCGTTAGCTCGTCTGTTAAGTTTTTAACGGTAGTGTACTAAAATAAAATAAAAAATAAATATAAGATATGATTATAAAAATTAAAAGTTTAGGTATTAAAATAGATTAAAATTGTTAATTTAGGTATTGTTTACCCTTTGCTTTTATTTTGTGGTCTAATTTTGAATTGGATTAAACATGTAACACCCCTAACTTATTTACTTTTAATTTTTATTTTATCTAATTAATTTTTTAGATCAAATTGTGAATTTTCAAATTTTAGGACAGTTTTAGGATTTCCTAAAGGTTTAGGGACTTATTCCCTTATTTGACCACCGTTGGTCTGCAAAAAAAAAAAGAAATGGTTTAGATATTTTCAAAAGTATGGTTAAGGGGATTTGAACCCTTACCACAAGCACAGCGTGCATTATTTTAATTAACATATTTCTTAAACCTTTTGATCGGGATTTTAAATCCCCAAAATCAATTTCCCCCTAATCAATTCAAGTCAAATCCCTAATCACCAAAAATCCCCAATTGTGTTAAATACTTTGCCTCCGTCTCATCCCCAATTATCGTCACCTCTGATCGTCGTGATGTGGACTGACCACATCCGGTGCTCGCCGTCGACTCGCGATCAAAATTCGACCATCCCTCAACGAGACCGATCGTCGTTAATCGTAAGATGGTCATCGATTATTCGTCGAAGAACCACTAGTCGCCTCGAGTTTTCAATTTTTTCTAGTTGATTCCGGTGTCCGGCGACCTCACCACACCAGCATTGGTTTCCCCAGTTTCCTGCGACCAAAACCTAACTGGCGGTGTTCCCTCTTTGTCGCTTCTCCATCGTCTGTCGTGGGTAAATCCTCCGAACTCTTTTTCTTTTCACCTTGATATTTGATCTGATTTGGGGTTTATAGTAAGTTAGAACTTTAGGAGTGATCGAACTGCCTAAATTGTCCCGTCACCGCCGTACATGTTGTTACGTGCCATCGTCTCGCGTGGGCTTCTCGACTGGTAAAGAAATATCTGGAATCGGTTTAGTTAGATCGAATTGGACAGAATCGATCTGTGTAGACAAAATCAGTCAATTTTAAATCGACTTAACTAAGTTAACTCGCGTCGAGTCAACTCAAACCAGTCAGACCGTTGACTTTAATAAAAGTTGATTTTGATTAAAAAGTCAAAAAAAAAATAATAAATCATTTTTATGTTTTGAGTCCGAATTTATAATCCGTTTTTCTAAATTCTAATCCGAAAACTCTCAAATCGAACGTTGAACCCCAAACATGCCTATGTATTCAATTATTTTATTTAAGTGCATTTAAATTAAGGTCAATGACTTATTTATGTTATTAATTATCAAAGGTACTCGAGACTTTCCCGATTGCTCGTCAGCTCGATCTAGCTCTTCTCTATCCGTCCGATCGCTAGAGCCCGTGATTCTCGTATAGTTTGTAATCCCTATAAATACTTAGATTTAATTATTTATTTCAATGGTAACTCGAATTCGTTATGGTTTAGGTTCGAGTATTTTTGTACAATGTAGCAAGGCCGGTGCTTTATAGACCTTCCAGACTTCTTTTTTAGATGTGTTCCTTATGTGCTATATACTGATTTAAATATCTATTTTAAGTTCTCATGTGCACATGATTATTTTATCTAATTTGAAATATGATTGTCTAATATGATTTGAATATTGAATGATTTATCTGATCTGAAAGCCTGAATATATATTACTGATTTTAAATCTTTGTTTGATTGATACATGCTCTCTAGTTTTCAATAATTACTGAAAATAGTTATATTTGATTTATGATATATTGATTTTACTGAAACTATTTGAATTGTTTTGTTGAGGTACTTTTGGGATGTGATATGGAGTTTTGCAGGTTCATCTCTGATCAGGCTAGTAAATCCTTATGGACTTAAGGCGATCCTTGGGTGGCCTCCTGGACCCAATAAACCTAGTGGTAAGTCCTTGTGGACCCTAAGGAACTCCTTTAGGGTGGCTCATTTGCTTTGTGCATTGGGTAAGTCCTAGACCTGAGGTCACTCCCCTCAAGCGGCTCCTACACTTCGGCTATGATAAGTTCTTATGGACCCAAGATGCTCTCTTAGGTTGGTTCCTAGATCTGATGGGTCTAGGGTAAGTCCTTATGGATGCAGTTATGAAAAATTGCATATGGTGTACAGTTGGATGGTAACTCTGTAATTTTACTGTCTCTTTCATACTATGAAACTGAACTAATTTTAAAATTATCCCTATGTTTTACTTTGCATTATTGGAACACACTGAGTGCCCAAGTTCACTCTCTAACTTTTTCCTTTCAGATACTTTTGGATAGACATCTTCAAACTTGTCACTTGGAGGATTGACACATTTTGTACCGTATTTGGTTGTAATGTTTCTTTTTTCTGAATTATCTTTATTTTGGGTGACATGTGACTATATTTTGTTACACTCGTTTTATGACATATTTTGTTTTACTACTGATGGTGACTTCGTACGAAACTAGTTATTTAATATTATGTGCTCATGAATGATGTTTTATGTTTTCATTTACTCGATTTGAACTTTACTATTTTATTATGTTGTTAAAGGTGTTTGGTTACGTATGATTTTAAAAAGGGAGTTTTGGAAATGTTTTAGAAAATTTTAATGTAATTCACTATACCTAGTCGTGACGCATAGGCTGGGTCTAGGGGTTACAAAATATTTAATTTCATAATTCAATTTAATTTTAGTTTTTTTTATAAAATTAATTTTTTTAATTAAATTGAATTCAAAAAAGAAATAACAATAATTAAAATTAAAATTGACATTCTCCTCGATTCCTGGATTTCTAGTATTTAAACTTATGATCTTAAGAAATAACAATAAATTCTCTTGTTGTCGGGATCACTTAATTCGTTTTATTTTTGTAGATTTAAATATGTATGTTTGCATTCGGTTTATGATTTAAATTATCGAGATCAATAATTTATGCTTGAATTTAAAAAGTGGTGAACAATTAAAATCAATAAAATCGTACCAAACTAAATCAAGCTATGAATCCTCTCAAATCTTTATGGTTTAATTATTTTTTAAGACACTATCAGTTTTAAAGTTAAATGAAATTAAGTTATGCTCTTAATTTTCCGGTTTAATTACCTTTTAAGACATGAAAATTTTGAAATTAGTAAAATTAAGTCCCATCCTCTATCTTTTTATGTTTTAATTACCTTTTAAAACCTTGTTAGTTTGAAAAATAAGCAGATCCTTCCATAATTTCATCCTAATTCTGGCCTTGACTCGCTGTTCCCCAACTTGCTATTTGTGTATGATAACTATCAAACAAGACCTCAACTTTTTTTCACCAAATGCATAGTTGCTATTATGACCCCCGGTTATCTTCAATTTGATATTGAGTGTTTCTTACAAATCTTTTATGTTTCCTAATAATTCCGTAAAAAGATTATATTTTGGTCTTTTTACTTAAGTTATTGATTAGGGTTTGTCTCATGAAAAACGGACTAATATATGACTAAGAAACGGCGTGACCGGAAATTTAATAAGATACTTAACAAAGTCGGTTTAGCGCTACTAGAAATGTTGATTAATAATAATATTGTAGGTGGAAAACATGAAGAAATATTAAAAAAACTGGCAATCGGCAAAGTTTGCTTATCGGTAGGTATCGATATCGTGCACAGAAGTATCGATATATATAGTAATATATAAGAAAGTGATGAAAATCGGTTAAAAGTAGACATGTATCGATACGTTTATAAGAATATGTATAAAAGTATCGGTACTTTAGTAATTTAAAATATTTTAGTATTTTAAATCCGATGATTTTTGAAATATCAATACTAGTTATTAAAGTATTGTATACCTACTCCAAATTCCAGTATGCTTGTAAAACAATTTGCACGTCAAATGTATTAATACACATTATTAAAGTATCGATTTTTATAATTTCAGCAACAAAGTCTTGATACTTAGAATTTTGAAACGTATTACTTTAAATAATACGTAAATTTACAATATAAACGGTAAAAATCTACCGGTTTAATGATAATAGGCGTAGACATAAAGTATTGATACTTATTATATAGGTATCGATATTGTTATTACAATATGCATCTCAAACAATTTGCACGCAAAAAGTATCAATACACATATATAAAGTATCGATACTTGGACTTTGGAAACCGATTACTTTAAAGTAATAGGTAAATTTACAATGTAAACAGTAAAAATCTACAGGTTTAATGATAATAGGCGTAAACATCAAGTATTAATACTTTTTGTATAGGTATCGATACTTTTAGTCTAGTATGCTTCTCAACAATTTGCACGCACAAAGTATTAATACACATGTATAAAGTATCGATACGTGGAATTTCAAAACCGATTACTTTAAAATTATAGGTAAATTTCAATATAAACGGTAAAAGTCTACTGATATATTGATAATAGGCGTAAATACCAAGTATCGATACTGTCTATATAGATATCGATAC